CGAGGCAGGGTGACCCAAAAAAGAAAGAAAATCCCCAAAAAGAAAATACTTTCATCATCATTCAACACTTTCACCACACTCACACATTATCACTGCTTTTGCAGAGGTGCTCAGAATACAACAGTTTAGAAGCATATACGTATAAAGATACACAACATATCCCTCCAAACTGCCAATATCCCAAACCCCTCCTTTAAAGTGCAGGCATTGTACTTCCCATTTCCAGGACTCAAGTCCGACTATATGACTATATAACACTTCCTTACCTTTACTTAAATACTGTTCACTTGTATGCTTCAATGTAAACATTTGGTCTACACTTCCCTACCCGTCCTAAAACCTCCTTGTTCATCTGGGATCATGCTCTCTGTCTTGCCTTTAATTCTTTCGGTAATAACATTAACATACACTTTACCTGGTATAGAGTGGAACTTTGGTACTCAAACTTAATTCGTTCCAGAAGACTGTTCGAGTGCTGATCTGTTCGAGTACCAAACAAATTTTTCCCAACCAATTTTCTTTTTTGTTGGCTGCTATCACTAATCTTCTTAAGCCTCTTGGTGACTTATTTATACATTAAAAAAAAATGCGAAGAAACACGAAAGTTTACAGCAAAGTTCTGGCAGGTTGTGTTTGTTTGGCCGAGTGCCAAGCAAATGGTTGACTGAGCGATTTTTTTTTTTTACCAAACAAAGCGTTCGAATACCGAATTGTTCACGTAGGGAGTTGTTCAAGTACCAAGGTTCCACTGTACTCAATAGGCTCTCTGCCTATCCCTAGGTACCTTTCCCTCTTTCATACATTTACTGAACAAAAGTACCAACCACTCCAAAACTATATGACCACCTGCTTTTAACACTTCTGTCTTGATCCCATCAATCCCAGCTGCTTTATTCCTTTTCATTTTACTCACCGCTTCATGCACCTCCACCACTTTTACATCTGGCTCTTTCTCACTCCTAAAAGATGCTATACCTCTCTGATTAATGCACAAAATCACTACCTCTCTTTCTTTGTTAACTTTTAACAGCTCCTCAAAATATTCCTGCAATCTTCACAATACCACCATTCATTCCTTAGGCTTTCTCAAACTATAGCTCTCACTCTAAAACTTTTTCTTATTCTCAGCAAAATTATTTGACAGAAACTCACCCAATCCCTCATTTGCTCTCCTTTTACACTCCCTCACCACTCTCTTAACCTTTTACTCTACTTATACTCCACCCTCCTCATACAGTGGAATTTCCGCTTACGAGTGCGCCACCATGTGAGTTTTTCAGGATACGAGCTGTCGCTCGGTCGATTTTTTGCTCCTGAATGAGAGCCAAAATTCAGGTTGCAAGCTTCCCCCTCAAGGGAGGTTCCTTGACGATGGTGAGGGACTCTTGATCTAGGGAATTGTATCTGTGTTCCAGTTCCCTAAATTAAGCCTGAATACCTTCCATCCCCCCACCCCCACAGGCGCTGTATAATCCTACGTGTTTAGCGCTCCCCATAATAATAATAATAATAATAATAATAATAATAATAATAATAATAATAATAATAATAATAATAATAATAATAATAATAATAATAATAATAATAATAATAATATTAATAATAATAATAATAATAATAATAATAATAATAATAACAAGTGAGCTTCAGAACACAACAAAACAACAAACGCTGCCACTAGATGGCACAGTAAATACCCCAACAACGCTCACCATCACCAGTGAAAAACATGGAGAAAAAGCCAAGAATCAGTGAGAAGTGAAGTGAAAAAATAAAAAAAATTGTAGCAGTTAAAGTCAGTGATAAAGTGTAGCATTAAGAGTGTAGGAAGTAAGTTAAGCGATTAAGCAATAGAAAAAGGACGAAACGAAATGAACTACTCCAATGTTGTTGATGTTGTTGGGGTTTATAGGGCCACTGACAGCATATGCCGCTCTGCCTATCTTTTCCACCATCAACCTCCGTCAGCATCTCTTCTCCAAGGTAAATGCTGTTCGTACACCAGTTTATTTCTTTACATTCTCTATTATTTTTCATTATGTTTTTATACAATATTTCTTATTTCAGTGTTTTCCTTATAAAACTTGTGCAGTTAGCCTCTTATAACAACACCTCAGAAGGGTAAGCATGGGAAGATGTTTTCAGAGCGGAAGCGGAAATGGCCACCATCACTTGTCACGTAATAACATATTTTAATAATATAATAATAATATCTTTATTTACTACAAGTACATGTACATCCGGTTAGCCAGACTTGAGTCCTGGAAATGGAAAGTATAATGCCTGCACTTTAAAGGAGGGGTTTGGAATATTGACAGTTTGGAGGGACTTCTAAACTGTCGTATCTGAGCATCTCTGCAAAGACAGTGATTATGTATAAGTGAGGTGAAAGTGGTGAATGATGATGAAAGCATTTTCTTTTTGGGTCACCCTGCCCTGGTGGGAGACGGCTTATTTGTTGAAAAAAAAAAAAAGTACATGGTACACAGGTCTAGCTGACATCAATGACATATTACTACTATATAGAAAGCTGCTTGTTACGCTGAGCATTTCAGGCAATTTAGGTCAGTTTGTCCCAGGATGCGACCCACACAATTTGACTAAGACCCAGGTACCCATTTTAAACTGATGGGTGAACAGGAACAGGGACAGCAGGTGTCTTATGGAAATACATCCCTAATGTTTTCCAGCCATACCGGAGGAGATTTAAACCCCAGACCTCAGTGTGTGAGCTGAGTGCACTAGAGATCGAGAGTATATATCAGGATTCTGTGTTAATTATATTGTTTATTATGTCATATCAGATGAAATGTGATAGATAAATAAGCCGTAGAGTTGATATTAGCATCATATTCAAGTATTTTGTACTGCCTCCAGAGCAGGAATTCTGCTGGAACGGATTAATGGCATCTCAGTTAATTTAAATGAGGAAAACTGACTCAGCATACGAGCAGATCGGGTTACGAGCTAGGTCACGGAATGGATTAAACTTGTAAGCAGAAGTCCACTGTACGTCTGCTTTGTAAAAATGTCTCATATGATAACTTTTTCCTCCTTAACACTCCCTTTACCTCATTATTCCACCAATCACTCCTTTTCCCTCCTGTACCCTCCCTCCTATAACCACAAACTTCGGTTCCACACTCTAACACAACATTCTTAAATCTACCCCATACTTCTTCAACCTCCTCATTACCTATACTCTAACTAGCCCATTTTTCTTCCAATAGTTGCTTATACCTTACCCTAACTACCTCCTCCTTTAGTTTATAAGCTTTCACCTCTCTTTTACTCAGTGATGTTGCTCTCCTTGTACCCCATCTACTTCTTAATCTCATAGTAGCTACAACTAAATAATGATGTGGTATACCTGTTGCTCCTCTATAAACATGCACATCCAGAACTCTACCATCAACCTTTTATCCACCAATACATAGTTCAACAAACTACTGTCATTACATCCTATGTCACATCTTGTATACTTATTTATTCTCTTTCTATACTAAATTCAATAAAAGGCCTTCTATTATCATTTACCCCTGGCACCCCAAATCTATCTACTAGGCCCTCTACAAAAGTTGCTTCCACTTCAGCATTTAGGTCCCCCACCACAATTATTCACTCACTTGGTTTTAAACTCCCTTAACACTCACTTAACATCTCCCAAAATCTATCTCCTCTACACTATTGTCTTCTCCAGTTGCATCAACACTTAATATAACCCATTTTTTTTTTTTTTTGGAGGTACTACCGTCCTGCCAAGTGAGTGTAAAACGAAAGCCTGTAATTGTTTTACATGATGGTAGGATTGCTGGTGTCTTTTGTCTGTCTCATAAATATGCAAGATTACAGGTAAGTCTTGCTACTTCTACTTACACTTAGGTCACACTACACATACATGTACAAGCATATATATACACACCCCTCTGGGTTTTCTTCTATTTTCTTTCTAATTCTTGTTCTTGTTTATTTCCTCTTATCTCCATGGGGAAGTGGAACAGAATTCTTCCTCTGTAAGCCATGCATGTCGTAAGAGGCGACTAAAATGCCGGGAGCAAGGGGCTAGTAACCCCTTCTCCTGTATATATTACTAAATTTAAAAGGAGAAACTTCAGTTTTTTTCTTTTGGGCCACCCCACCTCAGTGGGATACGGCTGGTACGTTGAAAGAAGAAGATATATATATTTTTTTTGGGAACACATCAGCCATCACTCACCAAGGCAGGGTGACCCAAAAAATGAAAGAAACACTTTCACAATCATTCAACACTTTCACCATCATTCACACTTACTGTCTTTGCAGAGGCACCCAGATATGACAGTTCAGATGTCCCTCCAAACAGCCAATATCCTAAACCCCTCCTTTAAAGTGTAGGCATTATACTTCCCACCTCCAAGACTCAAGTCTGCTTAACCAGTTTCCCCTGAATCCCTTCACAAAATATTAACCTGCTTGCACTACATCATCTCATCAAATCCCAATAACCACTTGTCTCTATTCTCCTATCTAACATGCTCACATATGCCTGCTTTATGTCTAAGCCCTTTGCATACAAAGCCTCTTTTACCTCCTCCCTCCAAATAAATATAATTATTGTATCTATTTCTAAATTTTCTACAGCATATCTATGTACAAAAAAAAAGATGGCAATGTAAATTTCAATAGGGTGTGGTTTGGAAGGGTTTAAACTCTCAACTTGTTTTCTACTGGTTGAGATCTCGATGGGTCACATTTAAGTTGAAAAAAGTCACCAAGAAATAAACTAAAATTAGTAACATTTGTGATTTGATATAAATAAAAATGTGACCCAAATTCTAACCTTCTCACCTTTTTGAAACCTACTTGGTCACCATTTCAGGTTTGCAGTATGCAGGACCACAAGCTGGCTTGGATGGTTTGAAAATGTTGGAGAGACTTAGTCTATATTTTTGGATATGTTTCTCTTTTAAGTCATTAAATTTATCACAATTTTTCTGTTTATGCTGATGAATAGAACTTACACCTTCTCCATCTTTTAATATCCTCCATATGGAGCCTCCAATCATGTGACCAGCAGGCTGGGCAGAAATATTCAAGCCTATTCCTTTTCCTGAAACAATGACCACAAAAATTAATACAGTATTTTGAATACAGTATGATAAGCATAAATATAAAAAGAAACTAACTTTCAATTTAACTAGCCAAAAATGATATACTGTACAATATAAATAACTTAAACTAGGGATGGTTTTATACAGAGGGTGCATGTTATAATGCTAACATTCTTCTTCAATTAAAAAACCTATATAAATAAAAATCTTAAAGCATAGCACTGCTGATGTTCTTGAGACATAACTTATTTTACTGTTTTACAATCTAACTTACATATATGAACAGTGGTGAGTCTTATCACCTTTTGGGCATAGTCATTATTATACCTAAAATATAGCTCTTAACTCAAGTGGTTGGCCATTAGTCCAGAGTACTATACTATGGAGTTTAGGTATTGAAAATTTATTATCCTGTTGGAAAATGAATCTCAAAAAAATTATATCAGAGATCATATAGGCAAAGGAACTGACATTTAAAGCTCCTGTCTTATTCCATTTCACATGACTGAATGGCAAACATGGAGCCTTATATAAAATGTGTTAAAAGTTGTGATACAGAACTTGTTGTAAACTAAAACAAAATGAGCACACACTATGTTCACCTCTCATTGGTATGCTCTGGTTGTACTTGATTTGCGTGATGAGTTCAAAGGCAGAATCAACATCATCCAATGTGAAGTGTTCCACCAAGTCATAATTATGGTGGCTCTGAAAATAAGACGATTAGCACAATTAGAAAGCCAACTGAGGATAAGAAAGAGATAATACAATAATTACTTGAATCTTAAGTTAGGAGATAAATAGCCCCCCATGAAAACAACCCAAATGATAAAGAAAAAGTACATGTTTCATTTGTCCAATATTACACACCTGAAACCAGTCATACATGAACATCTGCCCCATCTTGAAAACAGGAATAGTAGCATATATTGGGCATGACAACTGGCACCTTCCTACCAAGTATGGCAAAGCGCCCATGTGTAGGGGATCAGGATATGAGATCAAAACACAGTCAACACGTGGAAGGACCCTGTACATTGAAAAATGAAAGGACAAAATAAATATGTTGTACTGTGGAGGTATTTCAAAATCTTGTATGTCAGCATATGATAAACAGAACAGTGTATCAGGTAACAAATATAATTTTAAATACTATAGTACAATACTGTATTGGGACAATCAGGCATTAATTAGAGAGACATCACATATTATACAGTTAAGATATTTTACTTTCAATATATCCCTTAATATGGAATAATTTTTGAAATGCAGCCATATGATCATATGAATTGTATAATTTATTGAAAATTTTGGTAAACTTATTGAAATTTTTTGGCAGTACAGAAGTTAGTAATTTAAGGATCTTTAAAGGTACAATACAGTACATTGTAATTCTCATACTGCCTATGCCTTCACTATTCATTTTTTTCCTTAGACACTAAATGCCTAAAATAAAACTGTTTTTCTAATTTTAGGAAAATAACAATGTACGTAATATACATATGTACTGTGACTCATTCCTCCAGGTTATATACTGTATTTTACTTGTGCGATATTATCCATTACATGTATTTACTTAAGTGTATAAGTTTGAGCAGTATTCTGAACCCATAGAAGTTTTTCTATTTACCTGGCCAGCCGGTCGACATAACTCTTGTCAAACTTTTCATCCCACCCACAGTCGAGGAGGAAAGTGAAATCATCGACAGTTAGGAGGTAACAATGTGGAGTTTCCTCCCCAACCCCCCAAATACCCTCAAACTTAACGATGGATGTCATCTGAAACAAAGGCAAACAAATAAGACATAAAATGTGTGAAAAGATTCCACTCTTATACGTATATGGGTTTAGGTAATAAAATACGATATTCCAACTTGAAATTGAATAACAATGTGACATAGAGTGAAAAAATTTTGGTTTTAGATGTCAAAACTAGAGTACAGTTTGATTACATGAACTCTAGGTTAGACTATACAGTACTTAGTGGAATTTAAATATCTATACAGTATAATATAAAGCAAGCCAATTAATTTTATCAAACCTAGTCCACCAAGTCTAGTCTAATATTAAGTCTGGAATATATATAGCAGATACTACATTGGTAGGTAAGACACATAGGCAACAGTTAGGCAACTTTATTCCGAAACGTTTCGCCTACACAGTAGGCTTCTTCAGTCGAATACAGAAAGTAGGCAGGAACAGTAGAGATGTGAAGATGATGTAATCAGTCCATCACCCTTGAAGTCGTAGAATTTGAGGTTGTCAGTCCCTCAGCCTGGAGAAGTTCAGTTCCATAGTCAGGAACTATGGAACTGACTATAGAACTGAACTTCTCCAGGCTGAGGGACTGACAACCTCAAATTCTACGACTTCAAGGGTGATGGACTGATTACATCGTCTTCACATCTCTACTGTTCCTGCCTACTTTCTGTATTCGACTGAAGAGGCCTACTGTGTAGGCGAAACGTTTTGGAATAAAGTTGCTTAACTGTTGCCTATGTGTCTTACCTACCAACCTGTCGGTATTGTATACCATTTTGATGATCAGATACTACACTGTAAGCTGTGCACACTATCCACTGTTTCATAGTTTTAACTCTCAACAGAAACTAAATTAGCATTTTCAAGTTGAATGATTACACTCATTATATTTAGGGGAAAATGCTAAACCCTCAGGGTTTACATAACACTTACGAAATGGGTGGTAGTCAGGATCAACCCAAGGCAGTGATCTCTGCTCTCTGCTTTCCCTCATATACACATCAATGATTTTCCAAATGCATCTCAAAAATTTAGACCTATTCTGTTTGCAGACAACACAACTTTCATCATCTCACACCGAAATCCAAATTCTCTCAATAACATTGTTAATGAGGAGCTCATAAAGATATCTACCTGGATGACTATCAATAAACTAACTCTTAACATTCATAAGATCCATATCATGTTTAGAAACAGAGTCATAAATGTCCATCTAAATGTTATAATTAATGGTTTTCACACTGCAAGACAAACAAAGGAAAATTCTTAGATCTATACACTGACAGAAACTTGAAATTCAACACCCACATTCAGCACATAACAAAAAAAAAAGTATCCAAATCAGTTAGCATTCTTTCTATGATATGTTATGATGTATCTCCAACAGCACTACTTACATTATACTATTCTCTAATATATCCCTTCTTCACCTCTGCTATTTGCACCTGCAGATCCACTAAAGCAAATCACTTAAAGCCAATAATAACTCAACAAAAATTGACTGTACAAATTATCACCCAGTATAGTGCCAGGTAACACACTCCCCAACACTTCGAACTCTACACTTAACATAAATGTTCATGCAATTCACTCATACTACTATGCATACTACATATACAGGACATTCAATTATAATATCAACTCTGCTCTGAAACTCTTTCTTGAGAGCTACAACAGAACTTATAGGCATAATTCTAAGCACAGAAATCTCTTATGATATTCCCTGTATCCCACTCAACCTGTGTAGCAACTTAACGTGCATAGAAGGACCTAAAATCTGGAACTCTTTACCTGAAGCTTCCAGGGGCTACCTATCGGCTTACAACTTCAAAGTTACTGTTATAAAACACTTCTTTAACTTAATGTGACCCTGCCAACAATTTATTATGCTTGAAACCCTGTCATTGATCCAACACTGTCCCTATTCTTGTTTCATGCTTCCTTCAACTCTTATTTATTACAATATAATTTACGTATATACTATCTCACATTTTTTAGTATAAATTTTCATCCTTAGTGAAATTTTTTTATTAAATTTATATAAATTTAAATGAATACTTACTTTTTGCATAAAAAATTTGAGAAATTTTTTAATGAATTTTTTTTACTGTATCATTCTGTATTACTACAGGTAAAACCACTCCATCCATTTGCATTAATTCGGTTACCAGTTTCACTCCTAAGTAAGCTTTATTAGAATATTTTTTGAATTAACTGAATACTTTAATATAGAAATTTATCAATGTTCTTAGTACATTAGCAACCTTATTGACCTAAAAAATTTTAAACATCCAACTAAACCACACACATCAGCCATTTCAACTCATTAATTCAAATACAAAAAACCAGATTAAAAATTTTTACAGTTGTGTCCAATACACAACCACAGCTTTTTTTAATAAACTACTGTGTGTGTGTCCATGCCACAATTAAAGTTAGTTTTAAAGACTCCAGGGGGCGGGTTGGGGAAAATACTCCCCTCACACAAAAAATAGTGTTTGGGGTTCAACCCCCCGGAAGGGTAAAAATGTTGAACATGTTTCCTTATTTTTGGGCCCCTACAAAACAAGATGGGTCCTACACAGATGACAACAAGGAAATGATGAGCACTCAAGCCCCAATATGACTCATTTTTTAGCAAGCCCAACCAGACTGAGAGTCGAAGACAAAAAAATTTTTTTTAATGAGAGAGCCACAAAATTGATTAACACAAGCCTATCCGATGTTATCCTGACGCCAAATGACTTCGAACAGGCGATAAATGACATGCCCATGCACTCTGCCCCAGGGCCAGACTCATGGAACTCTGTGTTCAAAAGAACTGCAAGAAGCCCCTATCACGAGCCTTTTCCATCCTATGGAGAGGGAGCATGGACACGGGGGCGTCCCACAGTTACTAAAAAACAACAGACATACCCCCACTCCAAAAAGGGGGGCAGTAAAGCAACAGCAAAGAACTAAGACCAATAGCACTAACATCCCATATCATAAAAATCTTTGAAAGGGCCTAAAAGCAAGATCACCACGCATCTAGAAACCCATCAGTTACACAAACCCAGGGCAACATGGGTTTAGAACAGGTCGCTCCTGTCTGTCTCAACTATTGGACCACTACGACCAAGGTCCTAAATGCACTAGAAGACAAAAGAATGCAGATGTAATATATACAGACTTTGCAAAAGCCTTCGACAAGTGTGACCATGGCGTTAATAGCGCACAAAATGCGTGCTAAAGGAATACAGGAAAGTCGTCGATGGATCTATAATTTCCTCACTAACAGAACACAGAGAGTAGTCGTCAACAGAGTAAAGTCCGAGCAGCTACGGTGAAAAGCTCTGTTCCACAAGCACAGTACTCGCTCCCATCTGTTCCTCATCCTTATATCCGACATAGACAAGGATGTCAGCCACAGCACCGTGTCTTCCTTGCAGATGACACCCGAATCTGCATACAGTGTCTTCCATTGCAGACACTGCAAGCTCCAGGCAGACATCAAACCAAATCTTCAGTGGCTGCAAAAACAATATAAGTTCACGATGAGAAATTTCAATTACACTCAGATTATGGTAAACATGAGGAAATTAAATCTTCATCAGAGTACAAACAAATTCTGGCCACAAAATAAAGTCGAAACACCAACGTCAAAGACCTGGGAGTGATCATTCGGAGGATCTCACCTTCAAGGACCATAACACTGTATCAATCGCATCTGCTAGAAAAATGACAGGATGGATAATGAGAACCTTCAAAACTAGGGAGGCCAAGCCCATGATGACACTCTCAGGTCACTGTTTCTATCTAGGCTGGAATATTGCTGCACACTAACAGCACTTTCAAGGCAGGTGAAATTGCCGACCTAGAAAATGTACAGAGAACTTTCACGGCGCGCATAACGGAGATAAAACACCTCAATTATTGGGAGCGCTTGAGGTTCCTAAACCTGTATTCCCTGGAACGCAGAGGAGAGATACATGATTATATACACCTGGAAAATCCTAGAGGGACTGTACCGAACTTGCACACGAAAATCACCCACTCTACGAAAGCAAAAGCTTGGCAGAGACTGATCACCATCCCCCCAATGAAAAGCAGGGGTCACTAGCACGTTAAGAGACCATACAATAAGTGTCAGGGGCCCGAGACTGTTCAACTGCCTCCCAGCACACATAGTAGGGGATTACCCAACAGACCCCTGGCAGTCTTCAAGCTGGCACTGGACAAGCACCTAAAGTCAGTTCCGGATCAGCCGGGCTGTGGCTCGTATGTTGGTTTGCGTGCAGCCAGCAGCAACAGCCTGGCTGATCAGGCTCTGATCCACCAGGAGGCCTGGTCTCAGACCGGGCCGCGGGGGCGTTGACCCCCGGAACTCTCTCCAGGTAAACTCCAGGTAATACCTGTTGTCACTGTTCACCTAGCAGTAAGTAGGTACCTGGGTGTTAGCTGACTGGTGTGGGTCACATCCTGAGGGACAAGATTAAAGGACCCTAATGACACACTGAATTACTTTAGATATCCTGGGTGGCTAACCCTCTGGGTTAAGAATCCAAACAAATCTTATCTTACAAAGTAGTTTATACATCTCAATTGCTCTAATTGTATATTGCACAGTACTCCACTTTATAAAGCTGCTTGTCTGTAAGAGGGAAGGACAATTCAGTTTCTTAGTTCACAAACCCCTTAACTGCATCGAGGGTCTTCCCTTTAAAGGACCCCAATGGAAATAAGTCACTCTGGCCTTTTTCTGGTTATCCTAGGTTCTCTACACATATGCTGCTATGTATGATAATCTATGTAACTGTATTTGTGTATACCTGAATAAACTTACTTACTTAAGGGGCATACCACTTCAACTTAAATACCAGATCACCTCATCATTGAAGCCAAGGTGGCCCGTGGCCTCGTAGGCAAAGCTCTCGCTTCATACACAGTGTCCTGAAAAGGGTGGAAACACTGGGTGTGTTGCTTTATACCTGCTGTCCCGTTCACCTTGCGAGCAAGTAGGTGCTGGGTATTAGTCGACTGGTATGGGTCGCATCCTGGGGAATAAGACTGACGACCCCAGTGGAAATAAGACAGTCCCTCTATGACGCACTGTCTTTTTTGAGTTATCTTGGGTGGCTAACTCTCCGGGGTTAAAAATCCGAACGAAATTTTATCTTAACTTTTACTAGAAACATATAAAGCTTCTGACTATTATAAACCGAAATACTAATATACATTCTTGAAGTTTCCGCAAGTGCCTAAGTGGATTAGTAGCTTACTCTTTTCCTGTTTCCTGATGCTGTAATTATAATGAGATGGTGAAAACCATTAAATCTCTTGATTCCTCGAAACAGAAACAAGCGCGATAGCAGTTGTTGTTGTTATTGTTGTTGATGTTGGTGTTGGGGGTGTTAAGGGCCTCTCTCTCTCTCCCCGCGGGGTCCGGCAAACATGTGCAACCCAAATCCGAGGGTAACTTTATTTAGGGCGGCAGTTGTAACCATCTCTGAATCCTGGTTGGATGATACGGTGACTGACGACGAGGTCAAAATAAAAGGTTACAATATAAAACGCTTAGATAAGAACAGAAAGGGTGGTGGAGTATGCGCCTACATTAGAAATGACTTAGCTTACAACTCAAGACCTGATTTAAATAACAATAAACTGGAGATTCTATGGTTTGAAGTGCTGCTTCCCAAGACCAAACCCATCTTAGTAGTAACTAGTTACCGCCCTCCTACCCAGGACCAGTTCTTAGAAGACTTTTCCACAGTATTGTCCGAACTTGAAAACAATTGCGAGACAATAATACTGGGGGACTTCAATATCTGTTTTCAGCAGCAAAATAACGGGCTATGCAAAACGTATAAGCAAATTCTCGGTGGCCCGGTGGCCTGGTGGCTAAAGCTCCCGCTTCACGCACGGAGGGCCCGGGTTCGATTCCCGGCGGGTGGAAACATTCGACACGTTTCCTTACACCTGTTGTCCTGTTCACCTAGCAGCAAATAGGTACCTGGGTGTTAGTCGACTGGTGTGGGTCGCATCCTGGGGGACAAGATTAAGGACCCCAATGGAAATAAGTTTGACAGTCCTCGATGACGCACTGACTTTCTTGGGTTATCCTGGGTGGCTAACCCTCCGGGGTTAAAAATCCGAACGAAATCTTATCTTATCTTATCTCACTCAACTAATTAATACACCATCCCGGATCACACAGTTCTCAGCCACCCTAATTGACCACATACTTTGTAACCGCTCTGAGAACATTAGTCAGTCAGGCGTCATTACCACAGGTCTTAGTGATCATTTCATCATTTACTGCACCAGGAAAATCACTAGGAATAGGATAGGCCTACACAGAACAATAAAAATGAGGTCAACTAGAAACTACAGTAAAGAAACACTGGTAAATAGGCTGCACAATTGTGGCTGGACAGAGATAACAAGTTGCACGGACGTAAACGATGCCTGGGAAAAATTCAAAACAATGTTCACTACCATCCTTGATAATATTGCACCAGTTAAAGAGGTTAGGATTAAACGAAGAACTGAACCCTGGATGAATATTGAGATATTAGATAATATGAAATTCAGAGACCAGCTGCTAAAACGATTTAAAGCAAACAGACAGGATATTGCAGCACTAAATGAATTCCAAAGGGTGAGGAACAGAGTGCAGAGACTTATAAAAAGAGCAAAGGCAAAGCACTATTGCTCAAAAATTGAAGAGTATAAGCATAACCCCAGAAAGCTCTGGCAACAACTAAAACAGTTGGGGTATAGCCATAAGCCAGTAGATAGGTCTAACATAGTACTCACTATCGATAATGAGGTATGCCACGAAACATCTAAGGTGGCAAATTGCTTTAATTCCTACTTCACATCTGTTGCATCAACACTAATAAGTAAACTACCAGCTGCATCAAATACCTTTAGCACAGACTCTGATAAGTTTCAAACATACTATACCAATAAAGGGGTAACCCCAAACAGTTGTCAACTAGTAAGTGTATCTCATGACTTTATTCAAAAAGAACTAAGCAGGTTAAACCCAACTAAGAGCACTGGCCCGGATAACATTCCGTCTAAGTTCCTAAAAGATGGTGCTTCTGAACTGTCAATCCATATTGTTCACATAATAAATCTATCAATCACCACTAATACCGTACCAGAGGGGTTCAAGGAGGCCAGAGTTACTCCTATCTTCAAGAAAAATAGTAGGTCTGATGCAAGCAACTATAGGCCTGGTGGCCTGGTGGCTAACACTCTCGCTTCACACGGCGAGGGCCTGAGTTCGATTCCCAGCCAGAGTAGAAACATTGGGCGTGTTTCTTTCCACCTGTTGTCTATGTTCCCCATCAGTAAAATGGGTACCTAGGTGTTAGTCGACTGGTGTGGGTCGCATCCTGGGACAATGACCTAATTTGCCCGAAATGCTGAGCATAACAAGGGGATTTCTATGCAGTAGTATGTCATTGTCAGCTAGGCCTGTATACCATGTACATGTACTTGTAGTAAATAAAGATATTATTATTATTATTAAAATTCTAGAGAGGGCGGTGTACTCTCAAGTAGTTAAGTACCTTAAATACAACAACATTCTCCATAGCTATCAATCGGGCTTTAGAAGAACCTACTCAACCGACACCTCCCTTATTAATCTGATGGATTACCTGAGAACTGAAATGTCAAAGGGGAACCTCATAGGTATGGTAACCTTAGACCTGCAAAAGACCTTCGATACTGTCGACCACAATATATTATGTAAGAAACTTCAAGCTATCGGTATAGGTTCTGTAGACTGGTTTAAGTCCTACCTTAGCAACAGGAGACAAATAGTCAAATCAACAAAACGGAATCAGAACCCCTGCCGATAACATGTGGAGTTCCCCAAGGTAGTATTCTGGGTCCCTTATTATTTTTATGTTATGTCAATGACATGCCTATCAGTGTCAAGTGCAAACTCCTACTGTATGCAGATGACAGTGCTCTGTTAGTGTCAGGTAAAGACCCACAAGATATAGCTAATGTTTTAACACTGGAACTGGAGTCCTGCAGCAAATGGTTAGTAGACAACAAACTATCATTACACCTCGGGAAAACTGAAGCCATTCTCTTTGGCACGAAACATAAACTGAGAAGGGTAAATAATTTTAATGTTCAGTGTAATGGGGAGCCCATCACTTTGGTTTCATCAGTAAAATATCTGGGAATCCCCTTTGACCCATGCATGTCAGGAAAATTGATAGGGAACAGTGTAGTAAAGAAAGCGAATGCCAGACTGAAGTTCCTGTATAGACAAGCACAGTGTCTACCTACTGAGGCTCAGGACCCTATGTCTAGCCCTTGTACAATGCCATATGGATTACGCTTGCTCTTCATGGTACTCTGCCTTGACAAAAAAACTGAAAGATAGACTGCAAATCACCCAGAACAAAATCGTAAAATAGGTATACACAAATAGTTACATAGATTATCATACATAGCAGCATATGTGTAGAGAACCTAGGATAACCCAAAAGAGTCAGACTGACTGACTTATTTCCATTGGGATCCTTTGTTTATTTCCCCCAGAAAATGAAACAGACAATAAGTTCCCAATTAGGTCATGTGGATCCCCTCGCCTAAACCTTGGTATACACAAACGCCCACACACCTCGACTTAATAATAACAAGCTTTCTATAAACCTAGGAGCTGATATATGATGCCCCAACCAATTGTCAAGAGCTGATGATGAGGACAAACGCCTCTGGGAACAAAATCTGAGAAAAAAAATCCATCACTGTCCTTTAAGGTATTTGCAAAGCAAGACGTCCACACTTCCAAAGGCCATCGCAGAAGTTCCGCCTCAGTTGATAGTTGTTGGGTGTAAGAACTAGATCGGCCTTAGGGATCAAATGGACCCCTCTCCTCGTACACTATAATAATAATAAAAAATATAATAATAATAATAATAATTTTATTTACTACAAGTACATGTACAAAGTATGTAAGCCTAGCTGACATCAATGACATACTACTATACAGAAAGCCAAATCATACCACGGGCGGGGTTAGAACCAGTGATCATATTATAATCATGGGAAGTGCTAAACCCATAGGATTATACAGCACCCCCCCCCCGCGATCATATTATTATTATAAATAATCAAGGGGGGAAGCGCTAAACCCCGCGATCATAGAGTCTCAAAATTCCAGACCGTGGAGTTAGCCACTGGACCAGCTAGCCACAATACGATTCATCCAACTAGGTATATTTCTACACCATAGGAAGGTTAGCATAGGCACCACTGTGACCACAAATGCAAGTTTTTACAGACTAATCTCCAGCTAGCGTGGCCGTGACGAACTCTAGCTCAAGTCCCATCAAAGCCGTCAATATGACTCACGAAATCGTAATGACAAGATTGCGGGTTCTAACCCCGCCCGTGGTATGGTTTGTTTGCAATTGTCATAATGATGTCGTGAGTCATATAGAAAGCCGCTTGATATGCTGAGCATTTCGGGCAAATTAGGTCAGTTTTGTCACAGGATGCGACCCACACCAGAATGGAAAACCGGGAAATTAAATTTTCATCAAGTACAAAACAAATTCTGGCCACAAAATAGAGCGAAACACCAACGTCAAAGACCTGGGAGTGATCATGTCGGAGGATCTCACCTTCAAGGACCATAACATTGTACTCGCATCTGCTAAAAAATGAGAGGATGGAAAATGAAAACCCTTTAAAAACTGGGGAGGCCAAGCCCATGAGACCTCTTCAGCACTTGTTCATCAGGCTGGAATATTGCTGCCCACTAACACACCTTTCAAGGCAGGTAAAATTTTGCTACCTAGAAAATGTACAGAGAACCTTCACGGCCGCATAACGGAAAAAAACACCTAAATTTACGGGGAGCACTTGGGGTTCCTAAACCTGATTCCCGGGAACGCAGGCGGGAGAGTACAGATAATATCACCTGGAAAACAAAGGGGGACTATACCGAACTTGCACACAAATCACTCACACGAAAGAAAAAGATTGGCAGACAAAAGCAACATCCCCCCAATGAAAAGCGGGGGTGTCACTACACGTAAAGCCAAAATAAGTGCGGGGGCCCCAACTGTTCAACCCCTCCCAAAACAAAGGGGGATTCCCCAACAGACCCCTGGGTCTTCAAGCTGGCACTGGACAAGCACCTAAAGTCGGTTCCTACCACCGGGGCGTGCTCGACGTTGGTTTGCGTGCAGCCAGCACAACAGCCGGGTTTGATCGGGCTCTGATCCACCAGGGGGCCTGGTCACAGAGGGGCCGCGGGGCGTTAAAAACCCCCGGGAACTCTCCCCCGGTAAACCCAGGTAAACCCCAGTCGATTAACACCCAAGTACCCTTTTAAACTGATGGTGAACAGGGGCATTATTAGTTAGTTTTTAAAAG